GTGACCAAGGTGCGGAATTTGAAAATGCCATTTGATGTGAAAGTAATAAATGACTACTTGGGCTTCAATGAGGAGGATGAATCACTGTATTTGGAGAAGAGGCATTTGGTGAGGCAGCCCGTCCTTGGTTGGCACAGTACTTGGCAATCCTAGGTACCACCCCTGGTTGGTTGAATACGGGGGTGAAGATCTTAAGGAGAAGTTTGAATTTCGAGGCTAAGGGGTGGGAGACATTCGTGTGCAGTAGACTGGACCCCACTACCCACGACAACTCACTCCCTCTTCACTGGGCAGTATTGGTAGCATCAATTATGGTGGGGTACCCAATTAACGTCGGGATGTGATGTCTCGGGTTATTACGTAGGTAGTGAGTGAAGGTGACAGAAACTACCCCTTCCCCAGCTTCTTAACCATGTACTTTAAGGACCTAGAGGTAGAAAAGCATAAATTTGATGTCGAAGTAAAAGCAAAGGCACCGTTCTCATAGTACAGCATGCAGGGTGATGACAACCCAAAAGGCAAGAACTACAAGGGAATAGCCATTGCATCAACTGGTCAGTCTGAAGAGCCAGTAGCGGTAGTGGCTCTTGCTCAGCCTTCTTCCACCTCAGCGGACATGCCCCCCTGGTCCATCCACTTTAGCAGTTCCAGACATACCCTCCACCCCGGCCTACACAGTGACTGCCCACCGTCTAAGCCAGGCCCTTCTCAGCATCAACAATTGGATGCAGACAGCTTCCTCTAAGTTGTTTGTCCTTACTTCTACCATGGCAGCTCAGTCGGCACCTCCGCCTCCACAGGTCCCACAGGCTATTAAGGACACCTTCAAGAATATTATGGACAACCAGAAGAAAATCATTGACACTCAGAAAGTGCTTACAGAGGCTGTGAATTCTCATGGGAAAGCTCTCAAGGAGCTTGCTAGGGAGGCCAAGAAGATGAGGAAGACGCGAGTTTCCAAGGAGTCCGTGAAGGAGTTACGGGTTGAGGTTGACAGGTTGAAGGCAGATCACCTACCTTTGGATTTATTGCTAGATGACCCGGTACCAGTAGTCCGTCCCCAGCCAGTGCAGTCGGAGAGGCCTCCCAAGAGGAAGAGGGTGATTCCTCGTGCAGATGACGCAATTATACAGTTGGAGGACCCGCAGGGAGATTCCTCTAGCTAGCCCCAAGAGTTAGCCCAGGCCTCGTTCCAGGTCCAGGCACAGGTCCCAGCAGAGCCACATGTCATTGGGAGCCAGTCTCAGGTTCCCGAGCTTACAAAGGACCCAGGGACCACTCAGGATCCCATGCAGACAGACGGGCCATAGGGAGTTTCTGTATCCTCTTCCCTTTATTTTTGGTGCTTATTTTGCTTGGTTGGCATTGAGGACAATGCCAACTTTCATTTGAGGGGGTAGGCCCTACTTTGATTTGATTGGATGACTGTACATATATGATAGCTTTTATTTCTTTCATTATTTTTCATCTTTGGTATGTATATAATTTCAGCACTTCATTACATTTTTCTTACTTTTTATCTTGGGTCTGTATATAGAAGTTACGTTACATTGTATATATTCATCCCCCTTATTATATATTCGATCAAACCCATCTTGTATATATTCATTTTACTTTCTGCAATTTTTCTTTCTTAGCTTCTTATTTGTTTTCGTAGCTTCTTATTTTGGATTTTTGCAATAAGCCTTTGGTTTTCTTAATTCCATGGTTTTTTCCAAAGGTGAAATTTGTGTGAACTGGGTGGCTCTTCCCGATGATGGATGGCATGACTACCTTCTTAAGGGTTTGAGTCTGTTTTTCCTTTCTTTTTGCTTTTTAGTAGTTAGTGGTTAACAGTGCCTCAAGCAAAGCTTCACTTGGTGCTAGCACATTTGCCTTTGATCTCATGGTCAAAAACAAATCGTTGTATATAGGATGGTGAAAGTGTGACCTTGAGACTCTTGTATTGGCCGATAATCATCAAGTGGTTTTTCGGAACCATTGTGTGCTCCCAACTCTATGTCTTTAGCGATCCCATAGCTTGTGTGGTGAGAAATTTGCATTTCAAGTCCAAGTCCCGAGCCATTGGTCTAGAACTTGCCCTGAATGTTTGTTAAGGCAAAATCCTAAGTGAATTCTGACTTGAGACATGATTATAGGCTCTCCTTGATCCAAATGATAGCTTGAACACTTTCATAGTCTAACAATGATAAAATCCCTAGTCAACCCTTTTGAGCCTTAGACCTTTTTCCTTTAAGAACCATAATACAAGCCTTTACCCGTTCTAAAAGATACCCTCTCTTGACACCCGATCTTTCCTTAGCACATGGAAAAAGTATAAGTTTGGGGGGAGAGACGAGGATTGCAACAAAGTAGTAAAAATGCACAAAATGAAGAAAAGGAAAGGCAATGAAAAGAAAGAAAAGCAAAAAGACAAAAAGAATGTTCAATATAGAAATGAATAAAGGGATTCAAGAAAAGCAAAGAATGAAAGGTGTGGAAATTTGAGAAAGGACAAAAGATTTGAAATGAACAAGAGCGAGTGACAGTGTGTCTCTCTAACCCCTTAGAAAGAAGTGAAATGACTTAAAAAGTCAAGTGAATGTCTGCCAAAATGAAACAAAAGAAGTGCTTAAGGGAAGATGGAACCTACTTAGACCAAACATTTCCTACCCTGAACGAAAAACCTTCACTATGTCTCCACAAAAGCCCTATATGATCTTAAGTTGAATGAAGTTTACATTAGTGGTGACTCACATAAGGGGCAAGCATATGGTACTTAAAGCCGGACTTGTGACTTTTCCTTGAGAGAGATGAGTGAGTTTCCATTAACCTCATTCTGAGTGCCACTATCCCAAAGGTGAGGTTTGCTTAGGGAGAGTTGAGGATGTGTGAGTTTGAGTTCCACAATGACCAAAGTAATAGAAAGAGTACTTTGATGTGTTGAGTCAACTCTTAATTCTCTTGTGTCGCACTTAATCCATGGTGTTTAAAAGAGTAAATATTGTTAATGATTCACTTGTACTGAGGGCAATTGTTATTCCCAATTGATGTTAGATGAGGTCATTTTAGGATAGCTGAATTTTCTTGGATTCTCTTAAGGGGTGAGTCTTATTTTGTTTGCTTGAGGACCAGCAAAAGCTTAAGTTTGGGGGAGTTGATATCTAGGAAATATGATGTATTTTATACTCCTTGTTTCTTAAGTTTTGATTAGAAATGTGCACAGAATAGTCCCAAAGGCTCACAAGTTGTGCTTGCTTGCAGGTTTGATCAACAAGGTGACAAGATATCAAAAACCAACTCAAAAAGGAGTGAAACTTGCACAAGTACCAAAACAAGACAAAGCTCAGTCCAACAGGGCCAGTGCGGCCGCACACCATTCTGTTCGGTCCGCAAGTGAAGTTCAGAGAGGTTGTTATTCAGGCCAAAAAGCAATGCGGCCGCAAAGGGTTTTGTGCGGTCCGCAATAGGATCATTGCAGCCGCACTCGATTTAGTACTGTCCGCGGAGCCAAGGGTCAGAGAGGTGGTTTTTTGGAGGTTGAAGCTCAATGCGGTCCGTGGTCCTTTTTGTGTGGACCGCAATGGAAGCCACCGCGGCCGCACTCGATTTCGTGCGGTTCGCATTGCCCAAGTTCAGAGAGCTGAGTATTCAAGTTTAGAGCCTTAGTGCGGCCATACTCATTTTTGTGTGGTCCGCACTAGCCCCGCAAGTGTATTTTTGTCCAAATTTTTCAGCCTAGTATAAATAGATTCTTTTCCCATTTTTAGGTTATCAGATAATTTTTTATCAAGAGCTACGCTCGTGACTTCGTTCTTTTAGCTATTTCGAGTAATTTTAGCGTGATTTCAACATTGAATCTGCAAGTTTAATTTAGCAATTAATTATTATGAGTTTCTCTTCATTTATTTCTTTGTTTTCTTCTCTAATTATGAGTAGCTAGACCCAAAAGCTAGGGTTGTGGCTCAACCCTAGTGTGCGTAATTGATGGTTCTTTTGCTTTGATGTTTGATTGTCTATGGGTGTTTGATATTTGGGCTAATTTAGAGTTTTAATTGTGAATTGGTGGTTGCAAACACTAGTTTATGCCTAGTAAACTTTGGTTCTTCTTGAGAAAGAGGGCTTAAGTCCATGTAATTAGTCCAACAAGGAATTGGGGCGTACTCAAGAGATTGATAGCTCCAATTAAAGGGTTAAACCTAGAGATAGTAATACCCGACTTGAACCTTGATTGCTTGTGCAAATTTGCATACCCAATTGGTCTTGAGAAAGTCAGTTCGGGCAAAATTACTCAAACTACCGAGAGGTATAGAGTGAGTAGAATTGTGCAATGGTTATATCATACTCCCCAAATGTGACAATCTAGTTTTAGACTCAAGAATCTTTCAATTGACCATCTAGGCGAAAGTCACTACCCTAGTGCCTTTTAATCATTTGAACAACTCGCAATAGTTTAAGCTTAGCGTATTTTAGTTTAATTGAGCATTGTAGTTTTATAAAATTAGAATCATAATCAAAACAAAAAATTTGTAAAAGTGCAATTAAGAGCAAATACGCAACTCTGCTTTAGATAAACACCCGACTCCAATATCTAGCTCCCTGTGAAAATTGATCCCGACCTTAATCGGGTAAAAGCTGCTTCGACCTCTCTCGCTACTCAATAGTAGTGCAGGGTTGGCCTCGATCAGTAAACGCAACACATATCAAGCTAGGCCAAATAAACTTAAGTATATATGTACCTGCACACTTTCAAATAAATCCAACAATTCCCTGTAGTAAGTGAGATGATGTCGAGCCTCGACCTTGCGGGCGTAGCCTTGCCTATCAAATCACCTCCAAGATAAAGAGAGAAACAGTGGAGGTGGTGCATCCGGAGCTATCAATGGCAGAGGTGGTTGGAACAACAGGAAACGCTCTCAGGCCCAAACCTAATATAGATTGTGGACGTAAAATTTAAGATATGTTTTTACTATGTATGTTATAATCATGAAAAAAATTGACTATATTTTTACCTACAACAATGATAAAAATATGGAAACGTCTCTCTGGGTGCCTATGCAAGCCCGACACATCTGCCTATACAAGTAGCCTAGAACAGCTGCACCCCAGCTGTAACCAGATAAATCATCTAGCTACTCTAGATGATGTAGAAATCTCAAGCTGACTAGGTTTCCCGAAGTGTTCGGGAACAGTATACCACCAAACATCAACAACAGTCTCGTGTGTCAGTCAATATCCTCTAGCAGTGAATCATCAGTAATCTCTGCATCCATCGACACCAGATGCTGCCGAACAGGCGTCAACTGCAACCGACTGGCCTCACTCAAGGCATTCGGCTCCGCTGGCTGGAAACCGGTGATCCGCTACAATATATGAAGGTAATCCACTCCCGTATAGTCTCACATAGCATGCGGGTAAGCTACACGTATACCATCAACATGCAGCCTAAAAAGAACCTTCACGTCCTCAAGCGTGGTGGTAGCCCGCTGATGGGTAGATGAACGTGTGCGTCTCTGGTCGCTATCACTCTGTCATAGCCGTGATCAACGCCCAGTCAAACTTCATCCGACCGATCTTATTGATCCTGTAGAAACCTGTATCATGAAGGCATCTAACTATACAGGGATGTAGTAGGTGGTCCCTAATAAAATCCCACATATCGTCTATACGTCTGGGCGGAATGTCTGGGGCAGACACGACCCATCCCAGATGTGTGAAGACCTATGGTTTCCCTGTAGCAACAGTAGCTCTCGAGATGCAGGTCCGAGATGCACAAGGGAAACCTTCATGACGATGTCTATAAATTGAACAATATTAGTTAAATTTTTTTAATTGTTTAACATCTTTAAATATATTACAATATATTTTATATTAATATTTAATTTATATTTTTTCTATATTATTACTTAGGTTGATGCATTTTCTATATTTAGTTTATTATATTATTTTATATGTTTGCTTCTTACTCAGCTATTTTTGGGTATACTCAGTTTGACAAATTTTCTATATTGTTATTTTTTATGTTATATTCTTAAAATTATTGACTAAATTTAAGAGGTTTTGTGTTTGAACTATCATTATTTTTTTCAGATATTTTTGGGGTTAACAGATAATTAAATATTTAATTTCAATAACTACAAAGGTTAATTAGCAATTATTCAATAATTAATCATATATAAAATACAACAAACTTAATAGTACATATTATTGAATTTATTTCATTCGTAACGATATGTTTGTTAACTTTCATATTTTGCCCAAATTTTCCGGCAAATGATTTATTTTATGATTCATATCTAATATTTGATAATTATCTATTGATACATTAAATTCATAATTGAGCACTCTATCCGGATATGTTAAGGAGAGCACCTAGTTTTTATTCTACACAATGAATCTTAAAAAACACTAAAATAATACTACTCTAAACGGACGTGAACAAAGTCAATTACCATAAGCTAAAATTTATTATCAGTTTTACTACGCAAAAGGGTACTACATAACAATTAAGGGCACAATATAACATTAAAAGACACTAACAACAATATTCACATATTAATATATGTACAACAATAAAATCACATATAACAATAATAATTCATAAAATAACAATATATCTTTTTTATTAATTTTTTAGCACATAAATAATCTAATTCGAATAAAAATAATAAACTAATTAAATCACAAAACGATAACAAAAAACATAGCCCACAGTAAATAACAACTAATAAGCATTTTATATACATGAGTTTTACCAAAAAAAAAGTTGGAATACCTCGATTTAAAATTTTTTGAAATCTGAAAATTTGATGATTTGGGGGACGAAACGAGTAATAGACGGGATCCACTACACGACAACGCCTTAGATCCGGTGTTAGCTTG